AGGAGCTATGCTAGTCTAATATTTAGCTGTCTAAGACAGCTTTACTGTTCTAAAATGGGGTACCTCAATATTCTTGGGGGACAAGACAAATAAGGAAAAAAAGGGTGGACACCTTCAAACACATGTGCAGAGTAGTAGGTATAGTCAGAATTACAAGATAAAAGAGGGCTTCCAAATTGGGTAAAATGAGTTCCCTTCAGGAAAGCTCCAGCAGGAAGCATCCTTCTACTGATGCTCAATTGGCAAGGGAGCCATCAGACCCTAGAATATCATTAAAAATGTGAGTATAACTCTATTTGTAATTTGTGCATAGGTCTTTATAGGCTTTCTATGTTCTTGGGTAATCATAACTTTAATTGTAACTTTAATAAAAGGTGTAAAACAGACTAGACCTTGTACTTGTGAATGTACGTGTGGTCACTATCCTTGGTCTTATGTTTTCCTAGAGACTAACTCTGAAGCAAGTAGCAGAGGTGACTTTCACTCTATTGAGCTTGAAACTGTAGCCACTAGAGCTGAACACATAGTGGTGTAATACAACATTACTAAATTAAATAAAAGGCTACATTTCCACAAATCTGGTCATGATCCACAGCAGAGGAGATGGAGGGAGGGTAGTGGAATACAGATAGGGACCACACATCTTGAAGATGGTATTGCTTTCTGCAGTACTGCTGTCCCCACAGCTGTATCTGCAGAAGAAGTCAGGACCCATGCGTAATATCTTGTAAAAGTGTGTACGGAGTCTTAGAATGCTGGGTCCTGGATCTTTCTTTAGCTGCTTGTCCCTCAAAGGAGTCGGGTTCTGGATGAATGAATAAAAACTCCATCCCTTTAGCTGACAGAAGAGGCAAGCATTTCTCAAAGATCTGGCAGGCTCCAAAATGGCTTAGCTGTTTTGAAGGACCACCCTAAAAAGGCCAGAGACCTGGAGGATGTCCAATAGATCATGTGTGTGTCCTGGACCTTAGAGAGGTATCTGGAGCTTGGTTGCTATCCTCTGTAACAGTTCCTGATACTGCCTGTGGTCATCAGGTGTGGAGGATGACAAACCCATTATAACTGGCAGGACTGGTGGATCCAGCTCAACTTCTTCTTCTGCCAACTTTGATGGAGCCACAGTTAATATCAACTGGGAGAGGGAGGGCGGGTGTGATTCTTGCACAGATCTTCTATATGGATCCTACACAGTCCAGAAGGCAGGATCAGCTCGGGGAGGGGAGGGGAAATCATTTGGAGCATCAGATTCACTTGATGAAATAATCATCTCCTGCCCTACCAGCGGTGCCTGTGGTACTGGTAGGAGGACGTTCCAAGTTGTAGGAGAGGATCCTCTTCTTCTTGTGGTGGTTTCTTTGGGTGTGGGGGTGTCTCTAAGAGGAGCTGGGACCGACAGAAGAGGAGATTGGGGGAAGAACAAAGTGAAAATATTCTTTGAGGTACGAGTATTGGTCTTTCCTGGCATTTGGGGAGCCCCTGAGGAGGAGGGCCAGCAAATCCAGGGTGTCCGATGGTCTAGTATTTGGAGGATCCCACATGGACTACATCGGAACTAATGAAGCATGCAGCTCGCAGAGAGGGCTGATAAACACAGTTTTTTTGGCTTGTGGGACAGAGTTGAAATCTTTATTAGAGCTTTCTTCCTTCTCTCCTTGCCTTCTTAAACAGCAGGATTATGAGGACCTAACTCCTTAGGACCCACACACGAAAACTCACCCGACTTGGACCAAGATGGGGAGGGATGTTTTTTACTTGGAGGCAGATCTGGATGGGGAATCTGTCCTTATGCCTATACTCATGAGATTTTTTTTTAGGCTTCAGAGTTTTAGCCTGTGCTCCAGAGCTTGTGTTTACAGGGGCACTGTTTGCAATCTGAAGCCACTATACAGGGGGGTCTCCCCAGCCTGGATATGAATGGGGTCTCATAGCCTGCTCCATGAGGGGCAGCCACAGACAGAGTTCTTGTCCCTCATGAGTTCGGAAAGGGAAGGAGCAGCAAACGTGAGTCTCACCGAGGCAATAAAGGCAGCTGTAGTGTTCATCATGGAGAAAGAAAGGGACAAGAGACAGTTCTTGAATCCCAGGACTCTTAGCACAGTCCCTCTCTGCAGAGAATAGCTTCCCAGGGTGGAGAGAACTAATCGAACATAAAAACACTGCTAATACCATGTCTAAACTACTAAAAATACTAACACTAGTTACAAATTATTAGGGCTGTCAATTAAGTGCAGTTAACTCACACAACTGACTCAAAAAATCAATCGCAGTTAAAAAAAATTAATTGCCATTAATCGCACTTTTAAACAATAGAATACCAATTGAAATTTATTAAATATTTTTGGATGTTTTTCTACATTTTCAAATTTATTGATTTCAATTACAACACAGAATACAAAGTGTACAGTGCTCACTTTATATTTTTTTATTACAAATATTTGCACTGTAAAAATGATAAACAAAAGAATGGTATGAGATGAATTGAAAAATACAATACTGTAGTGCAATCTTTTAATCATGAAAGTGTAACTTACAAATGTAGATTTTTTTTTGTTACATAACTGCACTCAAAAAAAACCAAAACAATGTAAAACTTTAGAGCCTACAAGTCCACTCAGTCCTACTTCTTGTTCAGCCAATCATAAAGACAAACAAGTCTGTTTACATTTACAGGACATAATGCTGCCCGCTTCTTATTTACGATGTCACCTGAAAGTGAGAACAGGCATTTCCATGGCACTTTTGTAGCCGGTGTTGTAAGGTATTTATGTGCCAAATATGCTAAACATTTGTATGCCCCTTCCTGTTTCGGCCACCATTCCAGAGGACATGCTTCCATGCTGATGACGCTCATTAAAAAAATCTGTTAATTAAATTTGTGACTGAACTCCTTGGGGGAGAATTATATGTCTCCTGCTCTGTTTTTTACCTGCATTCTGCCATATATTTCATGTTATAGCAGTCTCAGATGACCCAGCACATGTTTTTTCGTTTTAAGAACACTTTCACTGCAGATTTGACAAAATGCAAATGTGAGATTTCTAAAGACAGCTAAAGCACTCGACCCCAGGTTTAAGAATCTGAAGTACCTTCCAAAATCTGAGAGGTACGAGGTGTGGAGCTTGCTTTCAGAAGCCTTAAAAGAGCAACACTCCGATGCGGAAACTACAGAACTGAACCACCAAAAAATAAAATCAACCTTCTGCTAATGGCATCTGACTCAGATGATGAAAATGAACATGCGTTGGTCCGCACTGCTTTGGATCGTTATCGAGCAGAACCTGTCATCGGCATGGACGCGTGTCCTCTGGAATGGTGGTTGAAGCATGAAGGGACATATGAATCGTTAGTGTATCTGGCATGTAAATATCTTGTGACGCTGGCTACAACAGTGCCATGTAAACACCTATTCTCACTTTCAGGTGACATTGTAAACAAGCAAGCAAGCAGCATTATCTCCTGCAAATGTAAACAAACTTGTTTGTCTGAGCGATTGGCTGAACAAAAAGTAGGACTGAGTGGATTCTCAGGCTATAAAGTTTTACATTGTTTTGGTTTTGAGTGCAGTTTTTTTTTCCCCCTTTACATAATTCTACATTTGTACGTTCAACTTTCATGATAAAGAGATTGCACAACATTATTTGTATTAGGTGAATTGAAAAATATTATTTCTTTTGTTTTTTACTGTGCAAATATTTGTAATAAAAATAATAATATAAAATGAGCACTGTACACTGTGTTCTGTGTGGTAATTTAAATTAATATATTTGAAAATGTAGAAAACACCCATAAATATTTAAATAAATTGTATTATATTATTCTTTAACAGTGCAATTAATTGCGTGATTAATCACAATTAGTTTTTTTTAATTGCTTGACAGCCCTACAAATTATATTTACAGGTATTCAAGTAGAGGAAGATTGAAGCGACACTGTATTCCAACTCAGATCATGTAGCGGTAAGAAGGAACTGGACAGGTATCAGTCCACACTGCCCTTTATACTCTTCGTTCAGAGCACGAGAAGATGAACTGTGCATGGCAGACCAACAGACATAACTTACTAAAAAAGTTTCCCAATTCAGGTATATGATGCACATGCATACCCATGTGTGGAATACACACAGGGACCATCACTTGAAAAACCACCATGATTTACAACACTATCAAATGCACACAAGAGTCTTGCATAAAACCCATGTTTTGTGCAATGTCAAAAGAGGCAATATAATCCCTCATGTTTATTTTCCCCCTTGCTGTTTATAATAATGAGCGCTTAGAAGGTGGCCACTTCTGTTTCCTGACAGTTTTCCTTTCCATTATGTGGAACATTATAAACATGCCCAATCCCACACAATCATCCTAAAATCCAGTCACTTGTTTAAAATGATTTAGAAGTAGTTGCAGGGGCCCCTAACAGCTGTTAATGTTCTCCTGTTCCCCACACAAACAGGGGAAATTGATTAAGATCCCAATCTAGGCAGGTTCTGATCATGGTCTTAACTGACCATACCGGAGAAACGTGACTACCTACAAAAGTTTCAACTTTCAGTTACAGTAATCTTATTACTTGTAATGATAACTAATATAAATATGCAGAGTGACATGTTTTTCTGAGTTGATGGCACTCCTATAATGGCAATTACTGGATCCAGTAGTAATAAGAACAGAGTAACTGGTTGTTAATGTCATCAGTTTCTTAAAAAGGCCTGAATACCTAAATGTTTGCTTAGAGAATTTGGTCTTTTTGGTGCCATTCAGCTGGATGCTCTTACACTTATGACTCAGCCAGCTCTCCATCCATCCTTCACCTTGCCCACCCACAAGTTCTGGGACTGTGTATTTTGAGAAATACAGATGTCTTCTGATTGAATCCATCTCTGCCCACAGCTGTTGCCAATGACAATATCCAAAGTTAACCCCTCACAGTCAACTCAAGACAAACTGGTTTGAACTATTCACATGTATTAATTCATTTACGCCAAATGAATGTGAATTCGCTACCTTTGCAGGTGAAGCATTTGATGTGAAAGTGCTTGGACTGGACACGGAGCACTTCGCCTTTACACGGCTCCTCACATTTATGGCAGTGGATGACAGGCTTGTCAGTGGAGTGGTGAGGTTCTTGGGAATGGGCCACTGTAAAAATAAAATATATCACTGTAAGAAAAGGAATACAGGGTTTTCTACCCTTCATAGATCTATGCTTTCAGCAACCAGTGAGTGGTATATAATCTCTCCATAGATTACATTGTACGCCCAACAAATTAACATGTTAACAGAGATTCTGTGCACCTGTACCCTTTCCATAAAATGGTGTTTTAAGTCATGCACAATATCTGCCTTATTGCACTGAGACAAGCAGGGAAAGAGAAAGAGAAAAAAATCCCTTAGTGATTTTGGTCACTCTCCGTGTCACTGATTCCACAAGTACTGCCTACAGTTCCAGAGCACATACCAACTGTGCATGAAGGCATAAAACAAGCAAGCAGGGCAGAAAAAAACTGGACAAGCATAACCTGAGCAGGAAGCCCAACCCAAGCATAATGAACAGAAACAGAAAGCAAATTTGCGAAGTCAAATCAACACAGCTACTTGGGTTCATGTACTACTTACTGCATTAGAATCCCATCTGATACGAAGAGTTAGAGTCCTAGGGAGGGATGTGATGCACAGAAAAATTGGAGTATACAGTAGCAGACAGACAAGAGTGCAAGCACAGAAACATGTGTCTGAGGTTAGAAGAATAAAAGGAAGTTATCTGGCTTGTTCTTACTCCTGCTGACTTCAACAGAATGTAACTCTTGTGTGTAGAGGAACAAGCCAAACATAGGAAAGGCTATAGAGGATAGAAGAGGGCAAAGTCACCCTCAATTTAAGCTTGCAAAGTAGCCAGAAGAGAACTTGGAGCACCAACAAGCAATACCTACACCTTTCAGCACATTTCCCAAGCAGACTCACAGAATGGCTGGGAAAGAACAGTGATAAGGGGGAAGAGCATTCTGTGTAGTGATCACACAGACATTCCACTTTGCCCTAAATTCTTAACTCCCGTAACTACCACAATGAGTAGCTTCTAAAGAGGAGCAGAAGGAAAAATCTCGTCAGTGTTATATCCACACTTTACTGTGCTAATAAAATCATAACTGCTCCATGTTTTACTTCTCACCAGACACTCAAGAGCTGTCTGGAATCAGGCTAAGGACCAAATAAACCCCTCAAGGACTGTAATGGAAAAGCATGGGGTAAATCAATACAGAATTTGTCTCAGTTTGTGTTATCTGAGGTAGTTAGTGGTGCCCTAAACAATCCCCCTGTGATTTTTCTTCTTTTACTAGCAGAAAATTGTGCTCATTATACTACTGTATTCTCAAAATAGTGACATTGCTCACCAATGTATTTTTAGGATAACACATGCATGCATCTGATGAAGTGGGTTTTAGCCCATGAAAGCTTATGCTCAAATAAATTTGTTTGTCTCTAAGGTGCCACAAGGACTCCTCATTTTTTTGGCTGATACAGACTAACACGGCTACCACTCCGAACCTGACATACATGCTCTATGTTTCTACCTTCCTTGAATCTCCGTATGCCTTCTACTGCCATTTGGATGGAGTTCTATCTGGGTATGTATTCATGGCATATTCAGCACCATAGACTTCCGAGTACTATCCCCCCTCCCCCCTTGCTCTCAGACCCTTTCCCACTGCTCTCAACTCCTCCTTCTCCCTCACCCCAGCTTGCTGGACATCCTTCCTGGTCACGCTCTGACACTCTCTCTCACTCTTAACTTTGCAACACTGTTTACAGTCACCACAGCCTCCCATCTAGTACTGCCATGCAAGTTCCCCCTCGTCCTTCAATAAACTTCTGGAAATTTATCTACCACTTCATCAAGTACTTTTGCTATAAAGCCACTCTGTTTTATTCTTTTTTGTACATGCTCATACCTTTAGAGCATAAATTTGTTGGGGAAGAAACTTTGCTATTTTGTACAGTTTACCTATTATGCACATTAGGTGGGCAATACATAGTAAACAGAAAGAAAAACAGTATTAAACCTAAAGGAAATCACGTATTTCAGGCAACAATGTTTATCTTCAAATTCAGCTAAACTTATAACTCAGCAGCTGTCATTTGGTTAGTGCAGTTTTTCTATTTAAAACATTTAGAGAAAGCTTAGCTGCCTGGATTCCTTGACTGGAATATGAAGCTTTCCCTCTTCCTCTGTGGTAGATATCATCTCATCTAGATCCCTAGAACTGTGATTCAATTCACATGAGTAAGCAGAACACAGAGGGGAATGCCAACTAATATTTTAATTAGCAGTTACTTCTAAATAAGAACCCATAAGTACATTGCCTTGAGTGAACCTCTCCTAATCTGTAATGCAATACTATTTTTGGAGTGGAAGAGCAGAGGTTATTATTCTTACAAGCAAGACTATTAAATAGTCTATTAACTTAGTTACAAGTTTTAGTAGTACAAAAGAAGAACAAAAATCCAAACCTATTAGAAACTCCTGCCTTGTATTATTTTAAAATACAATGAGCAAAACTTGCCTCTGATTTGTATGGTGGGGAATGGGCCAGACCCTGGGCCCATTGAAGATAATAGCAAAGCTCCCATTAGTAACCCCCCGCCCCACAATATCCTGCTCTATCTACTTTGTGAACACAGAGCTCCTTAATAAATTCTGTCCATACCAGAGTCTTGATCCCCCTTGTGCATTGGAGAAGAGTTGACCCATATTTGGAATGAAATAAAAGGCAAATCGGGCCAAAACTGGGAATCAGTATTATATTGCCAGTAACGAGTTAACTTTCTCATTACGTTTTGCCTTTCAGGGCCATTTAAGTTAACACAATGCTCTCAGCTCCCATATCCAATCTGAGCTCTCTGATGGAGGTAATTACAGTGCCCATCATACTGGCATCAGCTTTGGCTTTGGTATCGAGGTTCAGCAACCAACTGCTGCTCCTTCCCAAGGAGTCACTTGCAAGCTTTTCCTTTTGGATATCTACATTACACAGCAAAGGTTTCAGTGCCAGAGAGGACTCTTTTCACATTCACCAGCGAGCACGCAACAGGGAATTAAAGGGGGTGGGGAAAGAGTGGTGCGCCATGCAGGAGAATGGTCATGAAACCACCCCTGACTGCAGACCCCTTTAAAAACAGGTTTATGACTAAAGTTCAGCTACAGTCAGAAAAATGATTATGTACAAGTTTATTGGACATTTGTAAGCTGGAGGCTGATTTTGTGGTGAGGCCCCTGAGCAGGGTTTAGTAGAGATCTCAGCCTGGCACTGGAAACCCCACCTGCATCAGCAAGGACACCTCTACTCCAGAAAGGATTTACCCTCTGGATTTTTGCCCTGGCAGGGATGGGGCCAGAGAGTTGCTCTAAAACCGTGGTCAAGGCTGTGCTAATCTAGTCACCAAGAGAGGAAGGATGACCCAGTGGTTAGGACACCAGCTTAAGACTTGAGATCTGAGTTCAATTTCGTGCATGACCTTGGGAAAGTCACTAGCCTTTCTGTGCCTCAGTCCTCCTGCTGTAAAATGGGGAGAATAGCACTGCCCCTCACAGGGGTATTGTGAGGCAAAAATGCATTAAAGATTGTGAGACACTCAGACACTAGGGTGATGGGGGCCATTAAAGTAACTAAGATAGTAAACATGGTCGTACCCCTTCCCCATCCATTTTTGGGGCTGCTCTTCACTAGAAAATAAGGTTGTGTTAGACAAACTTGAGGAGTCATGTTAATTCACATTACTTTAAAGCATCAGCCCAGACAGGCTCCTCAAGGCTATGTTCGTACACTACCTTATTTTCTAGTCAGACAAGCCCTAGGCATGGTGCTGGCCAGCTCAGGACAGACTTTTCAGCAGCAGGTGGTCTATGCTAGCAAATGCCAAAACCACCCAGGCGTGAATCAAGTCCCTTGTTTAGAAGACCTTTGCAAACCTCTGGAGAGGTGAAAGAAAGCCATATTATCATGAAGGCAATTACAAGTTTGCCATTTCCCAGTACCTAGGAGCAAATCCCACCTGCTTTAGAATATGCAAAATCTTATAATAAAAAAAAAATCTGTAACCATCTCAAATAACACTTCTCTAAAACATTTTTTACCAAATTAAAAAAGACAAACAGATAAAGCATATATAAACAGAAGGATTTTGTGAGATGAAAGACAGTCATAACACAAAGCTTCCCATATGTATAGCATGTACATTACTTGGGTTATAAGCTCCTTGTGGCAGCAGCCATCTTTTTGTTCTGTTTGTACAGCACCTAGCACAATGGGGTTCTGGTCCAGGACTGGGGGTCCTAGATGCTACTACAATACAAATAATAATCTGCTTACATACCACAGAGCTAGTGTGAAATTCAAGTACTCACTGACACTAAGACAAAGTTGCACCAGTGTAACTAAAAGTGTAATTTCATAGTGAGGTAGCTAAGCCAGAGCAAGTCTGTGTGCTGACACTTTTGTCTCAGTTGAAACCTGATATACCCATTTAGCTCATATCAGTAAATTTACAGGAGCAGGCAAAACGGATACACCCAGTTTTAAATTAATATAAGATTCCACACAGGAGTTTGCACCATTTTAACTAAACGGACTTTTAAAAACTAGATTTAGTTGAACAAGTGCAACTTGCGTGTAGAAAAGCCCTAAAAGAAATGCTAGTAATACAGTGATCAAAAATGAATGAATATTTCTTTGAATATGTAGAATAATGTATCTTTTTCAAGCTTCACTGTGAAGCCTACATTGTACATATTGAAGCCTTAGCTGTTACAGTGCTTCCAGCTTTGCTCTCAAGTCAATCCATGCAAACAACAAGAAATCACCAAAACAAGTTTTCAGTGAGGCATCTTGTTATTTTGTAGGGCAGATACAACTTTGGAAGTTAAATTGTGTGCTGGAAACAGCAACAGGGCCATTTCCTTGATAAAGAACCAAATTTGAAGCCAAAATTATGTGCAGAAGAACTGCCCGAGACAAAATTAATTTAAGTTCCTGGGCTTTTTAACAAACCAGGTTAACTAAGGGTATGTCTACACTACAGGATTAATCCGAATTTAGATAATTCGAATTTGGGAAACAGGTTGTATAAATTCGATTGTGCGC